TGGACCTTCATGTGCTTCGGTACCTGGTGCACCAGGTACTCCAGCTCCTCCAGAATTTTCAGCCTCTGCTCTGGGGACGCACTGCTGCTGCTCAGCTGATCCAGCAGACGTCTCATTATCTGCAACCACACAGAAACCAAACTTCTACCAACACAATTAAAGCTGAGCACTCCCTCACACCACAACCTGGACAACCTGAAGGTCCGTCTCCACCAGCAGGTCCAGTTCAGCCATGTCCTTCTTTAACTCCTCTAGAGGTCGGTACCTGGATGCTGCAGAGTCCTGCAGAAACACAGTCAGTCCCCTTGTTGGACATGTCTGACATCACCCTCCACATGTCTGCAGCGAGCTGCTACCTGGTGGTCTGATGCTCTGCTGGCCAGGTTCAAGTCCTCTTTTATCTTCTTCATGGCTTTTTTTAGCACATCGGGGTTTAAGGAGGACTTGCTGTCTTCATCCTTTCTGCAAACAGAGGCAGCTTCTATAACGGCCTGGAGACTCCCAGCAGATCAGACAGGTCATAGGTGTCATTCTGGATCCTCACCCGTGCTCCTGGCTCCTGTACTTCATCTGCTCCTCTCCCAGTCTCACCTCCTTCTCACCTGTCTGCAGATTAAGCCTCACGTGGGAGCCTGCTGGTACAGCCTGGCCTGGATTCACATATTCAATTCAATTCATTTATAAAGCACCAATTCACAACACAAGTCATCTCATGTACTTCACAAAGTAGACATTCCAGCTGAAGCTACTTATCAGTGCACTGAGCTCAGTTCAGTTAGCCAAAACTGTCCTATGGGAGGAAACCCAGCCTAGCAAGCATGTAGCGACAGTGGAGAGGAAATCTCCTCTTTAACAGAAGAAACCTCCAGCAGAGGCTGGATCTGTACGGGCAGCCGCCCGCCACAACGAGCAGATACAACACAAACAGATGAACTGGAGTAGGACATCATCACATCTGAACATGGAGAGTGTTGCAAAAGCATTCCCACTCCTTGAAGCTTTCCACACGTTGACACCTTCAAACCACAAACTAGTCTTTCTCTAACTGTTGTGTATGGTTTGTTGGTGTGTTTTTTCATTGTTGTTATTTATTTCTGTAGGGCCTTTGATGTATGGAAGGGTCATCACTGGTTTTGGTTCTAGTTTTTCTTGATTTTATGTTTCGGTTGTTCTTTTCTCTCAGCCACCGTTTTCTCCATGAAAAACGGTGGCTGATAGCGGGTTACCCATGGCGGAGCCTTCCAGCTGATTGTGTATTGTTCCGTCGTATGTGAAGTATGTGGAGTTTGCCATCAGTTTTATCAGTTGTGCTATGTCGTCGAGGTTTGTTCTTTTGTGTAGTTTTGTCCTGCCTGATTCTGTTTACTGCTATGTCGATGTTTTTTTTAGGTTGGTGGTTTTGTGAACAGGGATGCAACATCGTGTAAAATTAGTATGTTCAGAGGGCGACATCATCCTCGGCTGCCCGGAGATAAACGGAGAAGGAAGTGACGCCACCAACATCGGCACGGTCGAGGATGGCTGTAGTGATTAGCCAAAACATTAGCAAAACAAGGTAAAGAACAACCCTTTTTTTCTGTGTTTTAAAAGAACCAAGCAATGCAAGTTCTTCAGGCAATATTCAAGCGAAACAAAAACATTTTTGTTAAGCATCAGAAAAATATGCTCTGTTATGTTATGCATCTATGTAAATAAGAATGTGTTTACATATGCTTTTATTTTGAAAAGCAACTGTAGAGGAAATTGGACTTTGACCCCGTAGAATGACCAATAAAAAGGGAGCATTGGTGTTTGTAGAGCGCAATCAGTGTGTGCTACCACCAGTGAAGGCCCGTTGAAACAGGCGCTCTGTTTACGGATTTATTTCCTCCTTTTTAATCCTGAAGATTCGTTTGGGAGTCTTGGACCAACCGCTGGGTAAATCAAACTCTGCTAACAATTTTGCTTCATTTTTCAGGGTGTAAGAAATAACTTCTGGGTCGCTCCTGTTACTGACATAGAATCCTCCAACAAGTTTTCCTCCAGGATTGTTCTGTATTCAGCTCCATTCATCCTCCCATCAACTCTGACCAGCTTCCCTGTCCCTGATGAAGAAAAGCTCCCCTACAGCATGATGCTGCCTCCACCATGTTTCACAATGGGGATGGTGTGTTCAGGGTGATCAGCAATGTTACTTTTCTTTTGCATTTAGGCCCAAAAGTTCAACTTTGGTCTGGTCCAAGCCCCCACAATGCGGCTCAAAAATTGACTCCAAGCCGGAAGTACCAAAAATTGCAGTTCCACCCTCATCCACTGGGGGCTGGTGTCAGAAGCGAGCAAATCCTCATTGACTCCCATGTTAAAAATACCAATTTCACAGCAGAAATAAACATGTTTACAGCCTGGTACCAGAACATGTTTTTGGTTTAAATGATCTAGTTTACACTCATGACAACTCTGAGGGGGGTGAATGTTTTTCTCACTCTTCTGTTTAAGTGTATTAAAAGCCTAAAATTCTGTATAATTAATGAGCATCAGACCCACGTGACCGCAGAGCTAGCTCCGTGGAAAGGCCTCAGTAGAGCCTCGGTCTGGCCTGGAAACTGTTCCGGGATTCTGAGTCTCTGTGCGTGTGTATTCTTTTTTTGATATTATTTGTGCAATTGTTGGACAAAATGACTTGCTGTGGCATTAATTGCATTAATAGAGCGTCCAAGGAGTCTCCACTTCATTTTTCTCGGTAAGTAAAATTATATTTATGTATTTTAGGTCACTGCTGAGCTGAGTTTAGATTTTAACATGTACTGTTTAACCATGACATTTAAATGTAATAGGGCAAAACCCAGTGCATTTAACATAATGCTGCACTTTAGAAAATGAGTTGAAATATAACATGTTGGTGGAGCTGGGTTCCGACTATCGGCTTGTGGAGCTCTCGGGAGACCTCTGTGTTCCACCCGGAATGCCGGCTGTTTCTCCCGCAGCCCGGTCCATCTCTGTCTGATCGCGACTTCTGTTAGCTGTGCGACTGACAGCTTGTGGAGCTCTCGGGAGACATCTGTGTTCCACCCGGTTTTATCCAGCGGTCAGCCCGGCATATCTCTGACTCAGAAGCACTGGTGTTGTGCACAGTTAACTCCGGTTGTAGCTAGGTTAGCTCCCACCTCTGCATTAGCTTTGGGTTAGCTTCAAGTTAGCTTGTAGCTAGTTCGACCGGGTGTCGTCAGTCTATCCCAGCCTTACAGCCCCACCCTCAGCCCCACCTCTCTTCCCTTTTTTGGAATTGTCTGGGCTTGACGGAACCTGTGACACGGTCAAAATGGCGGTGGTGGCCACCTCCCATTTGGCCTCAAAAAAGTGATATTGGAGCCTATGGAAATTAATTGTCCAGTATAAATGTCGATGGTCTGGTCTCGCCAGAGCACCTTCTACCACATGTCTGCTGTCCCCTGGCAAACAGGGCTTTTTATGTCTTTCTGTCAACAATGGCTTTCTTCTTGCCACTTTTCCACATAAGCCAGATTTGTGGAGGACACAACTTACAGACAGCTGTCTTGTGGACAGACTGTCCCACCTGAGCTGTGGATTTCTCCAGCTCCTTCAGAGTGACCCTGGTCCTCCTGGAAGCTTCTCTGACCAGAGCTCTCCTCGGTTTGTTGGGTTAGATGGACGACTCAGTCATGGAATAATCTGTTTTTAACTAAAACATTCTGACTTTAGGAGGATCCTCTTCTATTATCTGCCATGGTAGGGTCTGCCTATTGAAAAGTGTTCTGATCCAATAAAACTTCTGAATATTTAAAAAGAGGGTGCTGTGAGTTACAGGGTCAAAGGTCAGATGCAAAGGTAGAAAGTTAAGCCCTCTGGAGCACCATCCCAGTATCAGGCTTATTTTACCTGGTCTGAGTGTCTGCCACTTGTCATTAGGCTGGACCACCTCAAAATCCTCATCTTCATCTTTGACGGTTACATCCTCCTCTTCTCCTTCCTCAGAGTTCAGCAGCATCAGGGCGCCATCAGACTGCAAACAGAACACTAGACTAGTCACAGTTTAATAACACACACGCTTAGTCATAGCTATGACATTTCCTGGCTCATCCCTTTAGTAATGCTGCTATAGGTTTGGATTTCAATTTGGACTGGGCTGGCCGTGTCTCGTCTCAACCCTCTCAGACTTCAGCTAGTCCAGGCAGAAAGCTGCTGATTCTGAGCCCAAACACACACACGTACACACGTCACGCACACACGTGCCAGACAGTGACAAACTGTTGGAGCTTACCTTTTGGCCACGAGTCCCGGTCAGGTAGTAGCCATGCAGATAGAGCAGGAGACTCAGAAAGAAGCAGAAATGATGAGTAGACATTGTCCCTGTGTGGCCGGGTGAGGGAGGGATTGGGGGGGGGGGGGGGGGGATTAATTAATTATTATAAATTATTTGAATCCCGCTGATTAAATATAAACCTCATATTAGTATGAAATGTTCCTGGTTATGGCTGGTGCCTATATTATATTATGTTATTCTGTGGTTCTGATGGAGTCCTCCGTCTTCATTAGCTTCATAACATAGTAGGGGTCAGACTGTTGACTAGTAGAATTATTCCAGAACGGTTCTAGATCTACTCCAGCTTCTAGATCGGGGTTCCCAGTCCTGGTTTAAGAGGGCCATTTTCCAGCTTGTTTTGGTTGTTTCCCTGCTTTAGCTCATCAGGCTCTGCAGAATGTTTAAAAATATTCACTAAAACATTTCAAACATGCCCAAAAACGTTCATTATTTAATCATATTTTTAGTGGAAAATAAAACTTTTCAGGAGAAACTGGGATTAGAAACCTGCACACATTCTGAGTCCATTAATTTAGCTTCATAAATCTAATCGTTTGCCTCCGCGGTGTTTGTGACGGGGCACATTTCGGCAGGCATGCTCTTTTTTGCACAACACCTGTCCTCCAGGACCAGGACCACCTCGGCTAGAACGTCTCCACTAAAGTTGAGCTCATCTGGTGAGATCTCAGGGTAAATTAGCAGGACCCAGAACCAGTTCCTGGTTTGTTACTAGCTACCGGACCCCAAAAAGTCTTTCAGACTCGGGTTAGAACCAGAACCAGCTTCCAGCTGAACTCGGACGGCGCGTGGATCCTGCTAAACAGCGGTTAACTGAACCGGAAGTAGGCTTGGCAGCTAACCGTGTATAGCGCTGCTTCTGCTAAGCTTTATCCTAACCAAGAACTCATTAAAGGTTTAGATGAATAACTCACCTGAGCGTTTCTCACCTGCCTTCAGTCTACCTGCGTCTGATTGGTCCACGTAGCTTTCGGCGTTGCCGACTCACTACCGCCCCCTTCCGCCGTGGAGCTTCACCCTTCATCAGTGATGAAAAGCTACAAATAAACTCTGATTCTGAATAATTTACCCTAATCTCGTTAAAGCTGGGACGCAAAGGTTTCTGTTCGGTTTATTATGGGTTCGTAGAACAAAGAAAAACATAAATGCAAGTGAAACTCAACCCCCTTTCCCCCAAAAAACTTTATTGAGCAAGGTGAAAAGTATACAAACAAATTGCATACAAAATCGAACAAAGAACATGAAACATTTGCCCGAAATGTTACACGCATCCAAATAAATTGTAGGTAGTGCAAATAGTTATAGTTTTTAAAGCTTTTTTATTTAGTGGTCCACTAATCAAGATAGAGTGTCACTATAATAGTGTTTTGAAATTAGGTTTTTGGTTACTTTACTTGCATTTGTGGAGATAGAATTTAGCTAGAATAATTAACAAATTCATAACAAAGTATACATCTTCTTTTCTGTGCTTGCAAAAAAAAAAAAACATTTTCCTGTTTTAAAATGAAGTCCTTGTAGAGCTGTCCAATAATAAATCTCCTAAAGTCTTTCCAAAACGTTGTAGCATGTGAACAGATCCAGAGGAGGTGCTGAACGGTCTCAGGGTGGCTTCCACAAAAACAGCAGCTCACATCAATGTCCCTCTTAAACTTTGTCATATAGTGATTAGCTGGGTAACACTTATGAAGTATTTTGAATGAAACTTCTTTGACCCTATTTTGTCACAAAATACTTATTATTAATGGTCCATACTCTTTTCCAACTAATGTCAGTGACAAAGGAATTCCAATTTAAAAAACAGATAAGGATTCTCTCTGAAATAAAGCACGAATATTCCTATTACTGTTTTTATGCTCGGTAAGACAAACTTTTCCTGCGTATGTGTTCACAGGGTCGGGAGGAGAAATAGGCGGTACAACTGGTAGAACACCTTTAAAAAGAATTCTGACACCCATAGGTATTGCAGCAAACAGCATTTCTTTGGGAGTTGCTGGAAATTTATTTTAGGAGTTCTGTGTAAGACATAAGCTGTCCATTAGTATTATACACCTGATTCACAAAAATGATCTGTTTCTCAACCCAATTAGAGAAAAACAATGGCTTGCTTTTATACACTATGTTCCTGTTATTCCAGATCAAGTATGTATGGGGAGTAAAATTATGTTTATAAATCAGTGACCAGGCTCATAGAACTTGTTTGTGAAACATTCAAGTTTTTCTGGAAGCTTTCCTACATGGTAGTCTAGTCACAACCCAGGATAAAAGTTAGACCACCAAATTTAGAGAAGATATAGTGAAGAATAAAATTCCAAATGGAGACAGGATTTTTAAGAAAATGTTTTGCCCAGTTAATTTTAAATGTGTTGTTTAAGGTAGTGAAGTCCAAAATATTGAGTCCACCATGTAGTCATCAATTATTACACCCTTTCTTATGTAATGTGTGTTGTTTTTCCGTAAGAAGTTGAAGAGCATTCAGTCAACTTCCCCACAAGTTCTGTTGTCCACATGCAGATATGGCAGCATAAGTCAGTCGAGACAAACCTTCTGCTTTGGAGAGCAACACTCGTCCTCTTAAACTTAAATCTCTTTGTAACCACTGATTTAACTTAGATTGAGTTTTTGTAATTATTGGAGGGAAATTAGAGGTAATTCTGGTTTTTTGATCTTTACAGATAATCAAGCCTAACTATGTTACTTCGTGTTGAATAGCTATATTACAAATATTTTGATCATTACAATTGTTGATAGGTAATAACTGACATTTGTTTAAGTTTAAAATTAATCCAGAAGCTTTTGAGAAGTCATCTAGAATTTTCAGGGCAACTGACACCTGATTAGCATTTTAAAGAAAAATTGTGGTATCATCTGCCAGTTGTCTGATGACAACCTCTCTGTCTGCTATGTTTATACCTTTCATAGGACTTTTAGCAATATAAGAGGCGAGAATTTGGGTACAAAGTAGAAAAAGATAAGGGCTGATGGGGCACCCTTGGCGTACACCTCGATTCAGGCAAAAACGAGATGTGGTGCCATTTTTCCTTCTGATAGAGCTATTTGCGCCAGAGTATAAAGTTTTGATGGCATTGCAGAAGAAATCACCTAAGCCAAATTTCTTGAGTGAGAGAAATATAAATTCATGCTCAATAGAGTCAAAAGCTTTGTAGAAGTCAAGGAAAAGGATAAATGAATCCTCAAGGATTAGGTCAGAGTAGTCCAGGATATCTAAGACGAGTCTAATATTATTGGAGACGTGCCTTTTGTCATAAATCCCAATTGTGTCTCATCTATAACATCATCCAAAACATCTTTAACTCTCCTGGCCAGCAATAGAGCTGGAATTTTAAAATGATTATTTAGGAGGCTTATTGGTCTCCAATTATCTATGGAACGCAAGTTCAAGTAAGTAAGTAGGTTTAGGAATTAGAGTAATGAGTCCTTGTGTGAGGGTGGGTGGAAGAGTGCCCTTTTCAATGCTTTCGTTATAAACCTGTAACAGAAATGGTGCTAACTGGGAAGAGAACATTTTATAAAATTCTGCTACCAAGCCATCTGTGCCTGGAGACTTATTGTTCTTAAGAAGATTAATGGAGTCCAGTATCTCTTTTTCAGTGAACAAACTGTCACAATAAAGCCTATCTGCAGTTTTTATTACTCGTATATTATTTACAGAGTCGATGAACTGAGTAGCAACATTTGCTTTATATTTGGATTCATTCAACTTTGAGTAAAATTTACAGCAAAATTGAGAGAGGGTTTTGGCATCATTAGTGATCGTACCATTAATGTTCAACTGATGGATGGTATTAGACTTAGATCTAGATTTTTCTAAATGGAAAAAAACAAGCAGAGTTCTGTTCTCCTTCCTCTATCCATTTTTTTCTTGAACGAACAAAAGCACCTTCAGCTTTCTGGCGATAAAGCTCGTCAAGTTTAGAATGAAGGGTCCTAAGTTGTAATTCATCCTCCTCTGAGACTTCATCTGGTGGCAGTTGATATATTGATGAAATTTGAACAATTAATTTGTCTTCCTCTTCTGATCTTGCCTTAGCCATTTTTGCCCCATACTGTCTCAAAAATTTACCTGTTTCAAATTTAAAAAGTTCCCAGTTTGTACTGTAAGACTTCTCAATATTACCCTTGTTGAAAAAGTGTTTTAACAATCGTGTAACTTCAGCTTATACAAATGTATGGTTCAAAAGTGAACTATTCAACTTCCAATATGAAGATCTATTAATATTTTCAGTAGGAAGAAATTGTAAATTGATGTATATTCTCTATGGTCAGTGAGTGGCGTTGTGAGGATATTGACCGTAATGCTATCTTTGGACAGATTTTTAGAAATTAACCAAAAATCAATACGTGATTTCCTTGAACCAGAGTAGTTACTCCATGTAAATGACATATCATCAGGAAATTTCTCTCTCCAAATATCAGTTACATTAAATTTATCCATAAATGCTTCCATCCTCAAGTTACTTTTAAAACGTTGTGCTGGGGGCCATCTATCTATAGTATCATTGAGCGATACATTAAAATCTCCGCCTATTAACAAAAGTGAGCTAGGACATTTAGAGAGCCAAAAAGTAATTCTCGTATCTAATGAGTCAATTAATTTATCATTTTCGGGCTTGATATTATAACCATATGTGTCAGTTTTGACTGGCGGCGGCACGTGGTTTGAAGGAGAGGCAAACAAATAAATCAGGTTGAGGGGGCTTTATTGCAACATGTTTGTCACCAACACCAACATCTCCTAACACCAACACTCACTGCCTTTTATAACTAAGTGACTGATTGGAAGAAACCATGAAGAGGGGTAATCAAAGAAATAATAACTAAATATTATTTACAGAACCCAACCACCAAAATAATAAATGGTACCAAACATTATTTACATAAATACAAATCACACTAAATAAATCCAAGTTCAATCAAACAAAAGAAACTAGGTTTCACATAACTCCTCCAAGAATCACCCCTCCTTATTTAAGTGGTATGCTCCAGCAGCTTAAAAGCAGCACCTGGGACACAAACTTCCCTTTGCTGCCCCGCCCTGCTGAGGAGACAATACCAGAAAGGTGAGTGAAACTTTGGAGATCAACTTAAACACAAATTGACATTTAACAAACATTTCCTTTTTACACAGGAAGGGTGGCCAGTCCCTCTGCCTCCAAAGAATCTGTTTTAAATGTCCAACAAAAAATAAATAACTTCAATAACAAAACCTTTTGTCTGTAACTCAATCAGAAATAACAGAACATTAATCATAATGAATGGAACCCCTGGTCTCCATTACAATATACATTAACAATTATGAAGATGTAGTGATTGTATTCGACTACCAGACAAATGTAATGACCTAAGGAATCAGTCTGATTGTAGAACAGTACCACCGAAAGTACCTTTGAGAGTTGTGACCCCAGCTGACCTCTCTGAGCCATGCGAATACCAGATATTGTTACCCCACTGGGAAGTTCATGTCAGTGGAAACAGAATGGCTTTCTTGGAAAAAACAGAAATCACTATGACATTTTTTAGCAAACAAAAATAGAGCTTTACGTTTACAAGTTTGTTTTAACCCCCTGGCATTAAGAGAAACAATAGAGAATAACAATATCCATGACAAAAACTGAACTATTAGCAATTTAAATAGAACTAATAGATAGTGTTTAACAGAAAAGTATGAAAAACGGACCGAGCACTGCATTTATGAAAATAAACTTCTCAATAACCAAAAAATAAAGTGCATGAAAATAAACAACAAACATACGCAGTTGTACTACCTGGTAGTTTTAACCTTCTTTCTTATTTACCCATTAATCTCCATTTTCATTCCGAGGACGGAAAAACGCCTGTCCCCTTCACAAAACCTCGACATCCGACATAGTAGGCCTTTTATTCTCCTTGCGAGCCTGCTCAATAATGGGCCACAGTTTGCTCCGGCGGTCTCCATCTTCCTCTGAGAGGTCCTCCGCAAACTTCAGGTCTCGGTTCTCCTTCAGGTATGGGGCTGTCTTTGCGGCTTTCCACAGACCATCTCTGATCCTGCGGGAGACGAACTGGATAATGATAGCTCTGGGCCTAGTGCTGTTTGGGCGTTTAGGGCCGACGCGATGCACAGTGTCGATAGCTTCACGTAGGCAATTTTTACTTTCAGGCAGCACTGCCTGACAGATCTCAACAACACCCTTCCATACATCTTCCCGCTCAGCTTCCTTAACACCAAACAGCCTGAGGTTCCTAGCGAACAGCAGCTAGCAAACAGTAGACGTGAGCGTAAGTTCACAGACTCAGGAGTGTGAATTATTTTAATCAAGTGTAAATAGTGCAACCAGGAAAAAAAGACATTAAATAATAAAGCATAAATTTGAACAACAAAACGCCGACGTGAAACAAGTGTAGCAGAAAAGCATAATGATACATAAGAGGCTCTTATGTATAGACATCTAGTAACATGACCATAAGTGGTAAATAGGCAATGCAAGAGGCAAGTAACAAAAACATTTTGTTTAATTTCAACATTTGAGTGAACACCAAACATTATGAGCAGGTCACTGTTACAGTAATGGTAGTAAACACTACTTAGACAAAATGCCAGAAATTTACACTGTTAAATATTTCTGGAGTGTTGTGCCAAGGTCAACTTTATACAAAGATCAAGTGGATGCATGTGTGTGTGTGTGTGTGTGTTTGTGTGTGTGTGTGATACCTCATTTGTACAGAAATTTTGCCCTTCTGTCCTTCTGAGTGGCAAAGCTCTCGATGACCTTTTTATTGAAGTCAGGAATGTTTGTGACAGGCTTGTTTTTCCATGGAGAGCATGGCAAGAGCATTCAGCCCATCCTGTGTCATGGTGTTCCTCAAGGAAAGTCTTAATCCTCTTTAAAGTAGAAAGGCACCTTTCTGATTCGGCTGTGGTCATGGGTGTGGTGACAAGAATCTCCAAAAGAGTGACAGTCTCTGTGAACGTGCTTTGAAGATTGTTCTTCATGAAAAACTGGAAGGGAGTCAGTGCACCAATGCAAGCCCTGAACTCATGGTTCTCATAGATGAGGAATAGCTCTGTTCTGAGCTTAGCTTTGTTCAGCATGGGGTAGGCCTCTACAGCGGTCGCCAGTGCTGCATCTGGGAACTGTGCTGTGTGTTGCACAAACAAGTCACTTTGTAGCAGAGTGGCAGCAACGAGGTGCTTGGTAAAAGGATGGTGTCACAAACCTGTCATATGATAAATAAAAGACAACAGATAAGTACATAGGAAACACTTTCATAGGAAATAATGTCATCAGTATCCTCTTACAAATGTCATATTTCCCAGTTTTTGGGACAATAAAACATTTCTGATTCTCAATAAGATGGTTTTACTTCAAATGTAAAAACATCTAATTGAGAATCAGAAATGTTTTATTGTCCCAAAAGCTGGGAAATTTGTTTGCTGCAGCAGAAAATGGAATCAGATTGATGTATGTACAAATTTACATGAAATACACATTTACATGTTTAAATATGTATAATAAGTATGTGTGTTGAAATGAGTTTTTACAGTTATTGCACATTAAACATGTTATTAAACAAATGTCCCCGTTTGTGGGACAACCAAGGATTTCTGATTCTGATTGTCTTGTTTACAGAAATGTAATGTACAGCTTACCTCTGCACCCAGCTGCTGTTCTCCCTGTCCAAATGTCCTCCGTTTCTTTGTTGGCTGCTGTTGCATTGATGCGCTGCATTCCTCAGTCAGAGAATGAATGGAGTCCCTAATGAGACACAAGTTCCACATCCACATTACTGTTTGTGAAACTAACATACTGGAGAATTTCATCACAATAATATTAAATAAACAAGTATGTACCTGATCTGTTGCATGCTGTTGGTGAAGCTCTAGATGACCCCTGTGATGTAGACCGAGTCAATGTTCCTCTTCTGCAGCTGGTTGAACAGCATGTCCACATGTGGCGTGATCTTGTGAAACAATGCCAGCAGAAAGCAGTAATCTTCTTCCTCCAGCATTCTCACAACGCCTCCTGCGTCCTGCCTCTCTCTCAGTGATTGGAACAAAGTCATCAGAGTCTCTGATCATCTGAGGAGGTCATCCTTGTGCTCATACACTGTGTTGACAGCACGACTGTGGAAGTTCCACCTGGTTGCTGAAGTTGCTGGAAGTCTGTGTGCCACCACTTGATCAAGCACAGCGGTTTGCTTGAATGACCGGGAGAAGAAAGCAGCAAATCCACCAAGGTCTGAAAAGAAAGTTCTGATCCTGCAGATGTGTGAAGTTGCCTGTTGCATGATGAGGTTCAGCTGACGGGCATAGCAGTGGATGTAGTGTGCACTTGTGTACACATCATTCACCTTACACTGCATTCCACCTGTGGCTCCCCTCATCACTGCAGCCCCATCATAGGCCTGGGCAATTAGTTTTCCCTATTTTCCAGCAGGGATGATCTTGCTCAGCCTCTCCAACAGCGCTGTAGAAATAGTGTCAGCGGTTGCATTCTGAAGAGGGATGAACTCGAGAAAACGCTCTTGAATGCTGTTCTGACTGTCGAGATACCGTAACACAAGCACCAACTGGCAGCAGGTGGAAATGTCAGTAGTCTGCCTGAATAGCAAGATAATCTGCATTGTTCACCTCTCCAAGAATGTGGGTTTTAATAACTGACAACATACAGTCCAACAGCTCGTTCTGCATGGTCTTTGAGGTGCCTTTATAAAGTGTCGCCGTCTTCAGATGATCCTCCAACACATTATCAAGTGGAGCAACCAGATCCACTAGGCCCCTGAAGACGCCCGGGTTGTCTGAGGATTCAGTCTCATCATGGCCACGCAAAGCCAGCTCAAATGCTCCACAAAATTTTACACAGTCAATTATCTTGGACAAAATGTGCCGGTTCCGATCCACTTCTTCATTGTGTTTCTTCACTGCAAGCCTGTGCCCTTGTTGAGCTGCATGGCAATGTGAGCTCTGCCTAGCATGGCTAGCTTCACCGTGTTGTTGTCCATGTGTGCCCGGGATGACTCGTGTTTCTTCACCTTCTCAGAAAAATGTTTCATGTCTGTAACTCCTGACTCATCCATACCTTATCTGTCCCAGTCGTTTGGAATAACAAACACGGAAAGCAAAATAACGCATTAGCGTGATCGCATCCAGCTAGCCAAGCCTTCCTGGTGTACCAGTTTCGAGAGAAGCCTCGAGTGTACAGTTTACCTCTCTCCTTGTCCTGCTGGCTTATCTTTACGTCGGGCTGATCTGGTCCAAGCTCTTTGACATTAAGTTTTTCAACCATTGTTCTCTCGAACGGATACTGGAGAAGAGACCGAACTGAATTCAGTGGCTGCTCAGATCCGGTATCCATGCTTGTTGTAGGCCCACTCACGTCCATCACTGCATCTGCGTCACGACCAAATACCTTGCTCGAGTAGTCGAGACTGTCGAGCTCAACCCGAACATCAACAACAGCCTTGGGAGGTAGCTCTATCGACCTTCGGCTTCCGAATCGACGTCGCTGATTGGATGCATTCCCACTCCTATACCTTTGATTTTCTTGTCAGCTATTGGCTGGCTGCTTCACTGCTGTTTGGGCATCTTTCTGTCGCCTCCACCACTTGGCAGGGAGCTTCTCACCAATTATATATATATATGTATAATTTGTTTTTGTTACAAAACACACAATTAACTTAGAATGTGATTATTGTTAATTTTATTTATATATTTTTTAAATCAAAATTAAAAACATTGGGGAAAACTGGGGGGCGGCACCCTATTGCCCTCTAGTGGCCAGCCGCCACTAAAAGAGCCATCCCCATCTTCACTGCTGAGCACACTGGTTCTCCATGCTGTTGTTGGACTTCACATGAATCACCTCCACGGGCTGGAGCCTCCTCCGTCGTCCCTCCTTCCGCTCATTCTGCTGCTGGTTCTCTTTAGGTAAAGGACGACTGAGAAAAGAACAGTCTGTTTATTACCCACAATCCAGTCTATTTACATTAGGGCTTCCTTACTTTGTCTTAGTTTATATAAAAACAGATAGAAAAACACAGGATTAATTTACAACTGGGTGACAGTGACAGTGGCCCGTCTCGCAACTGGACTGTTGCGGGATCAAGTCCTAACCAGTCTGTGGTTGTGTCCTTGGGCAACACTTCACCTCCTTGCCTGCTGGTGGTGGTCAGAAAGACAGTGGCACCTGTGTACGGCAGCCTCACCTCTGCTAGTGCGACCCCGGGCAGCGGTGGCTACATTCAAGCTCATCACCACCAGGGTGGGAATGTGTGCTTGTGGATGAATGGATGTGTTGTGACGCGCCTTGGGGGGTTGTAAAAGTCTACAAGATGCTGTATCAAATGCATTAAACTGAATGAGGACCAGACTGGACTTGTTGACTGGTGCTAAATAGGTGGGTTCCAACTAAAGGGAGATCACCCTCCCTGGAAAGGTCTACAAGGTCCTGGAGAGGAGGGTCAGATTGAGGAGGAGCATTGTGGTTTTGGTCCTAGCTGTGGGACCGTGGACCGACTCTTTATCATTGCTAGGGTACTGGAGGGGGCATGGGAGCTGCTTGCCAGTCCGCATGTGTTTGTGGAACTGAAGAAGGCTTAGAACAGGGCCTTGATCCTGTGGGGAACACTCGGGTGGCATGGGGTGGATGACCCTCAGTCCCTGTACAAACACAGTGGCTCTGCTCCGTGTTGCCAGCAGCAAGTCGGACCCGTTCCTGCTGAGGGTTGGACTCCACCAGGGCTGCCCTTAGTCACGGCTCGGTTCTGTGGGGTTTTATTTATATAGCACCTCCCTTTAGAAAACCACAAGCTGCTTCACGAGTACAAGTAAAATTTAAAAAATAATCAATTATATAATAAAACAACAACAACATTGGAGCCCAAAACCAGCAGAACTGACAGAAACACCAGCATGAAAAGAAGCCAGTGAGGAAGAGGACGAACCGCCTGAACAACACGTTTTAGCTGAAGACCATGGTGTCCTCATCTTCATAGACAGAACTTCTAAACGCAGCTGTTGGTGGCAGGAGGTTCTCGTCTCTGCTTTTTGCAGATGATGAAGCTCCATCCTGCTGTGACCTTCAACACTTGCTGGGGAGGTTCCCAGCCAAGTGTGAAGCAGCAGGGATGAAGATCAGCACCACCAAATCCAAGGCCATGCCTCTCAACCGCAGGAGGGTGAATTGCCAACTACAGGTTGGCCAGAGGTCCTACCTCATGTAGAGTTTAGGTATGTGAGGGTCTGGTTCACGAAGGGATGGGGGAGCGGGAGGTCCACAAGTGGATTGAGACAGCAGATTGAGGACTAAAGAGCTCAGATGTCCTGGAGAGAGTCAGAGTAGAGGAGAGGAGCCAGCTGAGGTGTTTTGGGCATTTGGTGAAAATTCACCCTGTACGCCTCCCAGGGGAGGTGTTTCAAGTATGCCTTCAGGTCGACCCAGGACACGAAGGGATTATATCTCCATGTTGGTCCAGGAACACTTGAGAATCCTACCGGTGGAGCTGGTGGAGGTTGCTGAGGAGAGGGATGTCTCTGCTGGAGAGGCTACCACGAGACCCGGTGGTGACCACTCCACTGAATTAAATTCCTCTAAGAACTTAATACAGGTCACTGTTCAACAGGTGAGAGCTCGGAGGATCAGCTACTGACCTGTCAGTCACATCCGAGTCTTCAACGCTGATCCTCACACACTTGGCAGGTCGCGGGTCTGACCCTGAAGCTAGAACAGAACAGAAATTATTCAGATTTCCATCAGGAAATCCCGTCTGCAGGGAGCGAGCAGCAGGTCTCACACCTTCTGAGCAGCGGTTTGTCTCAACGGCCTCCAAGTCAGCTGTTTTTGAGTCCGTCACTTCCACAGCAGCCATCTGCTCACCACGAGCAATGCCTTCAGGGGGGGCAGGGATGTCCACAGGAAGCTTCTCCCTCCTTTTCCTCTGGACAGGGTTATTTTCCACCTCTGCAGACAGGAAAGTGTTATGGACAAGACGGCAAACAGAATAATGAGGGGGTTGGGTCCTTCTGTCACCTTTGGGTTCATATTTGTATTGAAGCTCTTCCACACGCAGCTGCAGCTTTAACTTGTCACTCTGAGCCTAAAGGAAGAAGACCAAAACCAGGAAGTAAATATGTCCATGTCTGCAGCCGAGCTCAGGAGGACTCACACCAGCAGCATTACTGCAGAGGCCTGCTGGTGAGACGACTCAACAAGCAACCCAACGTGAGTTTATGCGGATGACGAGGCTGTGGACACACCGATCTGGTGAACAGGAAGAGCAGCTTTACCTGCTTCAGCAGCTGCTCAGACTTGAACAGCTTCCTCTCCAGCTGCAGCGCTCTCTGACTCTCAGACAGAGACTTCATCCTCTGCCGGGAAAGCTCGTCTCCTAAACGCTCGACATCTTTCCTGAGAACACACACCAGAGGGCACAGAGCTGTAACATGTATGTGACCTCATCCTGAACAAAGACCACCCTGACTAAACCAATCAGCTCTCTGCTTGAGCCATTGTCCACCTAGCAACTGGATCTTCATTAGCAACTCCAAGCTAGGACGGCCCTCGGTGCTCAGGGTCAGAGTTAGACCTGGGGACTCACCGTGAACCAGAACCATACAGCTGCTGATTAGTCTTCCTCCTCATTTTTAGACCTAATGGAGGGAAACAGTGAAGCAGCTGAACTCACTCGCTGTTGCTGAGCTTCATTCTGAGAAGGTCAGTGTAGTAGGTCTCATCTGGACCATCAGAGTTCCCTGCTGGAGACTGACTGGCTGAGTGGGCTTTTAACAGGATCTATACACACACACACACACACACACACACACACACACACACACACACACACACACACACACACACACACACACACACACACACACACACACACACACACACACACACACACACACACACACACACACACACACACACACACACACACACACACACACACACACACACACACACACACAAAGACAATTAATCTTTAGCTGTGTGTGTGCGTGTGTGTGTGCATAGTGAGTTTGCCATTTAGCCGACAAGCTCACCTCTGACCTCTCCAGTCTCTGGAGTTTAGCATTCAGATTCTGGATCTCTTCATTCTTCTCCGACAACATGTCCTGCAGTCTCTCCACCTGGTCCGAGTCAGCTTTAGAACCCAGCAGCTGCATCAGAGTGGCTATCTGGATCTGCACAGCACACAAGTGTTGCTGCATGGTTCACGTGAGAGCAGCTTCCCCCTGTAGTGATCATACCTTCATGCGCTGCATCTGCTGCTTGCTGAAGGCATGGTGCTTCTGCAGGGACTGGTACTGAACCTTCATGCTGATGAGCTGTTTCTCCATCTCAGCTCTCTTGTCCTCCAGCTGCAACGACATCCAACAGAATGAGCAGCAGAGGCAACTTCAAACCCAGCTGAGTGTGTGTGCTTACCTCAGCGAACAGCGAGTTCCCCTTACTGTTTGGATCCTGGGCCTGCTGAAGAACCTGATCCAACTGGATCTGGAGGTCTCGGTTCACTTCTCGAGATTTCTGTGGCAACACAAGACTGGAATAAGTGTGCAGAGACACGGGCTGGAAAAAACACTGAAGCTCAACATTGGTTCTACTTAGCAGCAATACACTGAATGTTGTGTAAAAGTAATCAAGTACTACACAGTAATCCAGTACGACACCGTTAGCTAAAATAACAAGCTAACGTTATCTTAAACAAGGCAGCTTTATTTGTATAGCACATTTCAAACACAAAGGCAATTCAAGGTGCTTTGATTCAAACATTTTATTTAACTGCTGGAGCAGATTAAGACGATGATGCCTCACACATAAGCTTGGTTTATGCTTGACGCATTCACTTTCCGCGCGGTGATGCGGCTCGCGGATGGAACGCGCTTCACAACTCGCAGCGTTTATGGTTTGTGCGGCTCGTCTCTGCGGTGAGCCAATATTCTCCCAAACTGAACGGGGCAGCATGGAGCTCTACGGCATGCATCCAACACTACACCATAGTAGAAGTAGAAATTACTGTTTACAACATGACATTTCAGCATTTTTAACAGCGTTCTCGTCTTTTCCGACAGTGTGAGCCATTTCTCTCCAAGAACTATTAACAACATGTTGATCACGGTGATCTTTGAGAGCTGAATCATACAAATGTCTGTATTTACGAACCTCTGCCGTGCCGGTCCGCCATGTTTTTCCACGTCCAACCGTCCGCGTGGTTAGAAATTTTCCGAGGTGCGCGTTGCGGAAATCTTGGGCCGTGCGGAGACGCGGTGGAGGGGTGTGGTTGCTAAAATGACGCAAAATGACGCAACTTTTCCGCGCGGAGCCGTGCGGACCTCGCGGACGCGTCAAGCATAAACCAACCTTTAGCCCGCTGTCGCTGGTTTCATCATCACCCAGTGGCCCGGTGCATTTAGTGAGGAGGACCCAAACTTTAGAGCGCTTCCTTTCTGCCATGCTGCTTCTCTGTTCACAGTTCGCCCACAGCGACTGATGACATTACACTCTTGCTCCGCCGCTGCTGTCCATCTTGGCAAATCGCAGTCTCACAAGTTCTCGTCATGAAGGACGTATACCGAAACAAGGCACCGTTTCATATGACGTGAATCAGTACTCAGTTGGTACTATGGAATTTGGTCGGTGCCTTAAAACGTACCGAATTCGGTACCCATCCCTACTGGTTACTGTGTAGTACTTGATTACTGTCAAGGACATGAATCAAGTACTTGATTACTGTCAAGGACATGAATCAAGTACTTGATTACTGCAGACTACTTGATTACAGTAATCAAGTAGTCTGCAGTAATCACGTACTGCACAATAATGAAGTACTACACAGTATTAATATACTACACAGTAATCAAGTACTGCACAATAATGAAATACTACACAGTATTAATATACTACACAGTAATCAAGTACAGAACGCATTACAGTTTACTGATTAGGAGTAAGTCACCCCCCCATCCGAGTCTTACTCCACCCACACTTCCTGTTTGAAAATGATAAATGAGCCGCACTTGTATAGTACCTGTCAGAGTCAGAGGACTCCAAAGCGCTTTACACTACAGCGTCATTCACCCATTCACACCCACATTCACACACTGGTGGTGATGAGCTACGATGAAGCCACAGCCGCCCTGGGACGCGCTGACAGAGGCAAGGCTGCCGAACACAGATGCCACCGGTCCCTCCGACCACCACCAACAGGCAAAGTGGCTTGAGTGTCTTGCCCAAGGACACAACCGCAGAATTCTCTGTCCGGAGCCGGGATCGAACCTGCAACCTTCCCATTACTGGACAACCCGCTCAACCTGTTGAGCTACTGCTGTGACAAATGTGACTAAAGGCGATGTGGCCTGTTTGAGGGAGAGGGCGCGGCGTGCCACAGTAGAGAAACACACACACACGATGATGTAGCTCATCACCACCAGTGTGTGAATGAATGAACGAATGAATGAATGACTGTAGTGTAAAGCACTTTGGACTCCCTGATGTAGAAAAGCTCCAGGAGCAGGTCATCTACCATTTACTTGTTGCTTCTCATGCTGTGAAATTATTTTGTTGTGATCTGGTGCTCCATAGAAAAACCGGATGGAACTGGAAATATGAACCTTGATCATCCATGAAGAAGAAACAGCCAGAGCCTCGGGCTGAGGGCTGACACCACTCACCTCTAAGGCATTAAAGCAGGACACAGCTTCTCTCTCTCTCTCCTCCTTCTCCTCTGTGAGTCGCTCCAGCTGGCGCTGCAGGCTGCAGGCTCTCAGCTCCACCTGCTGCTCTCGGCACAGACTCTCCTGCAGAGTCTGCTCCAGCTCCACCTGGAACACCCAAAGCACCACAGTCCACAACTGGAGATCAGGGACCAGCTTTACCATCTCAAAGTAAAAGTCCAGTTCACACAAAGGGTTGGCCATCATCACCTTCCTATTCTCCAGCTCAGAAATCTGCACCTCCATCATCTCAGACGGCACGAGAGTCTGGCTACGGTCGTTGACAGCTCGGAGCTCCTCCACCTTGTTGTTAAGTGTCTCCGTTTGGACCTCCAGCTTGTGCTTCAGCTGTTTCTCCATCAGCTGGGATTCCTCCAGAGCAGACTGCATCTTCAGAATCTAAGACAGGACAAGATCACAATGATCATGTCAAAGTCAGTTTAATTGTCACTTCTGCCACATGTACAGGACATACAGAGAAATGAAATTACGTTACTCTCAAACTCTCGCTAGATAGAAAATAAACATTTAGTATAAAAACAGTAACCAAGTTCAGAGAGACTGTGGGGGAAAAGAGAGGAGAGTTGGGAGAGCCGGGAGGGAGTTAAGCTTCCTAACTGCCTGATGGATAAAGCTGTCCTTCAGTCTGTTGGTCCTGGCCTTGAGACTCCGCAGTCTCCTCCCTGACGGCAGCAGCTCGAAGAGGCTTTGCATTGGGTGAGTGGGATCAGCCGCAATGCGAAGGGCCTTTTTTGTGAGGCGGGTGCTGTAAATGTCTGGTAGTGACGGGAGAGAGGCCCCAATGACCTTCTCTGCTGCTCTCACTATACGTTGGAGGGTTTTAATGCATGAAACGTTGCAGGCTCCGAACCACACAGTGATGCCGCACGACAGGATGCTCTCGATGGTGCCTCTGTAGAAAGTGTACAGGATGGGGGCTGGTGCTCTTGCTCTTCTTAGTTTGCGGAGGAAGAAGAGACGCTGCTGTGATTTCCTCGCCAATGCTATGGTGTTGTTCGTCCAGGAGAGATCCTCTGTAATGTGCACACCCAGGAACTTGGTGCTGCTCACTCTCTCCACAGACACACCGTTAATGGTCAGAGGAGCATGCTGAGTGTGTGCTCTCCTGAAGTCCACAACAATCTCCTTGGTCTTCTCCACATTTAGAGAGAGGTTGTTGTCAGCACACCATGTGGTAAGGCGGCTCACCTCGGTCCTGTAGTCGGTCTCATCCCCGTTGTTTATGAGACCCACCACTGTTGTGTCATCCGCAAACTTCATGAAGAGGTTAGAGTTGTGTAATGGTGTACAGTCGTGGGTCAGCAGAGTGAAGAGGAGGGGGCTCAGCACACATCCCTGGGGGGCCCCCGTGTTTGAAATGATGGTGCTGGATGTGTTTCTGCCGACCCGTACTGCTTGTGGTCTTCCAGTGAGGAAGTCCAACAGCCAGTTACACAGTGAGGTGTTAAGACCCAGCTGGACCAGTTTTTGAGTAAGCTGTTGGGGGATGATGGTGAATGCTGAACTAAAGTCTATGAACAGCATCCAGACATATGAGTCTTTTTTGTCCAGATGTGTGAGTGCTGAGTGGAGTGCAGTGGAGATGGCGTCATCGGTCAAGCGGTTGGGCCGGTATGCAAACTGGAAAGGGTCCAGGCAGGGGGGCAGAACAGACTTGATGTGTTGCATGACTAACCGTTCGAAGCACTTCATAAGGATGGGAGTAAGTGCAACAGGACGGTAGCCATTAAAGCAGGAGGGAGATGATGTTTTTGGAACCGGAATAATTGATGTGGCTTTAAAGCACGTGGGGACGACAGCCTGGATAAGTGATGTGTTGAAGATGTCTGTGAAGACATCAGTTAGTTCCACTGCACAGCCTCTCAGTGCCCAGCCAGGAATATTATCAGGACCCGGAGCTTTATGTGCATTGATCCTGCTAAGGGATCTCCTTACGCTATTCGGGGACAGAGTCCCCTGGTGACCCTCCTGGTCACCAGGAGGCGGTGGAATCTTCTGTGCTGTGGTACCGTTTTGCACTTCAAAGCGAGCAAAAAATGTGTTCAGCGCGTTCAGCAGGGAGATGGTGCTATCACAGGTCCGTGGAGGGGGCTTGTAATCTGTGATGGTCTGAATGCCCCGCCACAAGCTTCGTGTGTCTCTGCTGTCTTTGAAGTGTTGGGATATTTTCCTGGAGTACTGTCTCTTAGCCTCTCTGATACCACGGGAAAGGTTGGCCCTAGCTGTCCTCAGTCTCATCTCGTCTCCTTTCCTGAACGCAATATCCCGCTCCTTCAGCAGCCTGTGGACCTCTCCTGTCATCCATGGTTTTTGATTTGCACGGACAGTTATGGTTTTAGTTAGTTACATCCTCAAGGCATTTCTTGATGTAGGCTGTAACAGTCTCTGCATACTCCTGGAGATCAGTGGTGTTATTGTAGGTGGCAGCCTGCTTAAACATGTTCCAGTCCGTGGAGCTAAAACAGTCCTGTAAAGCCTCTGAAGACCCTTCTGGCCACACTTGTATTTGCTTACAAACCGGTTTGGTGACTTTGACGAGTGGTCTGTAATTGGGGTGACGGTGGCACAGGAGTTTAAGTGCTCGCCCCGTAATCGGAAGGTTGCAGGTTCGAGCCCCGCTCAGTCCGTCGCTGTCGTTGTGTCCTTGGGCAAGACACTTAACCCACGTTGCCTGCTGGTGGTGGTCGGAGGGACTGGTGGTGCCAGTGCTCGGCAGCCTCGCCTCCGTCATCCCCACCAGCGTAAGCAGGCATTAGCATGACAGTAATGTGGTCTGAGGCACCAAGGTGAGGGAGGGGGAAAGCTTTGTAAGCTCCTCTCTGGGTGGTGTAAACACAGTCCAGTGTGTTATTTCCTCTTGTTGGAAAGTCAATGTGTTGCTGTATTTTTGGAAACATGCACTTTAGGTCTGCATGGTTGAAATCCCCAGCCAAGATGAGAAAGGCATCAGGATGGGCTGTCTGCTGCTCGCTAATGCACTGGTACAGTTCATTCAGTGCCACACTCCTGTTGTTGTCATTGGAGGAGGGAGGGATGAACACAGCACACAGTAGTATGGCTGAGTATTCCCTCGGTAGATAGAATGGCCGCCACTTAATAACCATAAGCTCCAGTGCAGGCGAGCAGTGTTTGCAGACCGCGACAGCATCGTGACACCAGGCGTCATTGGTGTAAACACAGAGTCCACCCCCGCGGGCCTTACCTCCTCCGCCAATATCTCGTCAGCACGGTAGCAGGTTAGCTGGTCGAGCTGAATGGCACGGTCCGGGACACTGTCACTGAGCCATGTTTCCGTCAGTATAAAAACACAACAGCCCTTTACATTCCTCTGAGATGAACGTAGTAATCGAATGTCGTCCAGTTTATTTCCTAGCGAGCGTACGCTGGCCAGGACAATGGAGGGGATAGCGGGTTTATGTGGGCTAGCTACTAGCCTAGCTCGGATGCCGCCGCGCTTTCCCCTCTTCTGCTTTCTCTCACGTCGCTTGAGGCGCCTCCATTGTGGGCGAGGAGCAGGAGTGGCAGTCGGTGATTTAATAGTCCTCCGGAGGAGACCCAGACTTCTCAGCTCTACGGCGTCCACAGAGTTTAACTTAAAAACATTGTTCCTGCCGATGTCGAGCAAAGATGTTCGGTCGTATACACACTTGCAGACAGATAGGCGTGACATGGACATACCGAAAAAATAAATAAATAAAAATAAAAATAAAATGTGGTTTAATATCAACACTCAGTCAGCCACATGGCTACATGGATCCACCAGAGTCAGAGATGGCGGATTACAAGACATAAACAATAATGTAAACAAACAGGTCAGCTGTTCCAACAACAGCTGAAGTCCCTCAACACTGTTCCATGATAAACACACACACATGCCAGTGTTTCCCCTAAGAATGTTTCCAGCTGTGTGTGTGTGTGTGTGTGTGTGTGTGGGGGGGGGGGGGGGGGGGGGGGGGGGGACTTGGGGAGAAATTATGACACGTCTCTAAATAAAGTAAAAATTTCTAGTGCAGATTGGAGACAACCCATAGAAGCACTGATTTGATCTCATTTCAGAGAAAAATAGAACAGGTCAGATGCACCTAATAAATAAAATTACTAACCAACTCAGGAATCTTTCTTTGCTTCATTGTTCTGGTGCTGAGAATATCACTAATGCGGATCAAAGGAGATACACAGATGAATGCACCTCTTATTTATTATTTGGAGACTACATTTACTGCAGCTGGCAGAGGCAGAGATTTTTTCTATTGATACACAGAATTTACAGAATCATTTTAAAATTTAATAGGGGAAGACTGCAGGAGGGAGCGGTAAAATACAGGGGGTCCCCAGCAAAAACAAGAAACTTTACGAGTCTGATGAAACCCGCTGGTTTTCCATCAGGCAGTCACGGGACTGGTGTCAAGCCAGCCTCCAGTTTGAGACTTGCAGTCAAGCCAGCCTCCAGTTTATTGTCGCTTCCCCGTCTATTCAAAGTATTACGGGAAGGGATGTGGAAACCGGATTTCAAAATAAAATTCAACTACGAGTGAATTATCAGATATTTTAAGAACATAATGTAGCGTTGGGAAGTTATAATGGTCTGCCCTTAACAGCTGCCCCTTCACACAGTAACACCGCCAAGGTCGGGCGCTTGGTTCAGTATGTTTACATTCCAGGAGAAGAGACAGAAGAACAGAAGAATGCTTTTCATGTTTAATCAAAGTACTTTATTTGTGACAAGCTAATCAAAGCATTTGTTGATCATTAATAATCAGGTGAATGATCTGTGAAATAAAGATGTCATGAGTTATGTGTTTAAATGAATAAACAGGGCTGCACCAGTCACACTGATATGCATTACCATGGAAACGCATGACACATTGTTTTCAACCAATCAGAACTTTCGTCTATCGTAGGGCAGAATCTGGTTTGTTTATGAAAGTAGTCCAATCCGGTTTACTAAGATTCTTAAACAAATGGGAGATATAAAAAGAAGGCAACGCCATTTTACGTCAGTTCCACATCAGTTCCAACTTTCAGCAGTTACATGTGAACTCAGCTCCCGGACATCCAAATTCCTAAGGATTTCCATAGTCATCATTAAGAAGTTCAGACTGGCCAGCTGTACTTCCTACTTTGAGCTGAAATCTGTCAAGCTGGAGATTTTCCGTCGTTTATACCAACGATACGGCGGTCCTTCAAAATAAGAGTGAACTTGCTGACGCCTGCCAACCACTAACTGAGTTATCCTCAGACGGGCGTTGTGTGCTGTGACCGCTGTTTCACCAGCTCCAGTACAACCGAGGTCTTGGAACCTGGCAATTCCTGATCTACACGGGAGACTCCTTCTAAGGTACGGCAAATGGCCTCTCATGTCATCAGCTTCTGAAGCC